CACACACATACACACACTCTTTCTCTCTGACTCTCCCTCTCTCTCTCTGTCTCTCTCTCACTTTCTCTCTTTTATCTCTCACAAACACATACACACACACACACGCACACATACACACGCACACATACACACGCACAAACAAACACACACACACACACACACACACACACACGCGCGCGCGCGTACACACGTGCACACACAAACGTCCAAAGATTCTCAAATACAGCAATATTGATTCCTCCACCCGCCCCCCTCCCTCTTCCCCTGACACCACCAAGGCGTCCACTACGACTACCGAGATACAGAAATGCGGAAAGCCATCACAACAGCAGTGACAATCTGGCTTCAGGGTTTGCGAAACTCCGTGTTGGCCACCATGACGTCAGATGGACTACCAACCGGTCTGCCGTGGGGTATGCCTAACCTTGAATGTAACTCAAGCTCTACTTTAACCTGGCAGGATGGCCCTTCCTTTTATCAGTGAGTCTAGCGAGTTTTGGTATTATTTTCTCTTGTCTTGTAGATCACACCTTCCCCCATAAACTTGACGTATTACTGACGTTAACGCCTTTCTAGCAGACATCTATGTTTCGTACGGTTGTTGGGATCAGTCTTCTTTTTTGTGACAATATGTGACACAGAGCTACACAATACCCAAAACAGAGTGAGAGTGCAATGACAAGGGCTTTAAAAAACCACATGGAAGATCAAAATTACGTCTTGGTTTGAATATTTTGAACTTACAGCAAGTATAGAAAGAAATAAGAGGAGGGGAATACAAGAAAACGTTATATTTAGAGAGCATTGGCTATTGATACTGATGTAACACACACCTAATAAAAGAAGATCTCTGAACAAAAACTGTGACATGAGTAGCCGAGTAATACGTTCAGTGGAATTTCTGAAAAAGCCTTATGAAACATGAGCTCCTTGACGTGTACTTGCAATTCACTCAATTGTTATGATGATGAACCTCTGCCTCTAAAACAGATTCTTGATGAATGTGAGCTACGATGACGTGTCCTTCAACGAACTGGGGCAATTAAAATCTCGAGACATCTCCATAGTGAATGTTCAGCCTTCAGGAAATGGACCAAATCAGCGCAAATGGACAGAGGTTGGTCCACATAACTAAGGAAAATAGAGTACAATAATAAAAACAACAATATAAGAGTACGTGCAAATCTACGACCCCCCCCCCCTTTTCCTTCCCCCAAAACACTCACACACACACACACATACACACACACAAACACACACACTCATTCACACACACTCACACACACACAGGCACACATCTTTAAACATAAATTTTCCATTTTATTTCATGATAATATTGACTTTTTTGTTTTTATCGTAATATTATTAGTTCTTGTATTCTGCGTTTTAAGATATCCAGGTGTGTAAGCCCTCTGATATTAAGTTCACAAAATGGCCTGCCTGTCAGCACGTTGACAATTCAATGCTTTTATCACCCCCCAACTTGCAGTGAGAAAATCGATCAAACCTTTTCTAGTCCATACAGCATTGCGTCCTAAAAGTCGGCGAAACGTCCCGAACCCTTTTAAACCAGGCGCGGTTCGTCCATAGAGCACGGTCGTGCAGTGCCGCCCAATATTTTTCAACATCCTCTTACGTAAAACACCCACAATAATATAATAAGAGAAGCCAGAAACAAACACTAGCCAAATATTTTATCAAAACAAAGGTCCTCACTGGCGCCCTAACTGTCATTTCTATGTCTATAGCGCCGTAAAACATATATACTATGCCATGCCAAAGTCCAAGCGCTTTAGCTAAACAGAAAAGGATATTCAACCTGACCTATAAATCACTCTTGGGGACAACCCAAGCGATGACGACACTCGTTGCGAGTTTGGCGGTACATTAATATTAATAAGCCGGTACATCTCAAATGTGCTCCTGTCGAATAGTGCCGAAGCATAACCCACAGTAGGCAGTCTAAAAATAAACACTATAGACCCTACGCTGTTCTTTGCCAATATTATGTGAGCCCGGAGCAATCCAGCCGACTGCTCAAGTGAATTGTGATTGGTTCATTGTTTGTTTTGCCACTAGCCTATTTTAAGTGACTCTGTAACCGTGAACCTGAGGGAGGTGAACGTCACCGTCCTAAGAGTTGTGCCTTTAAATGGTTTTGTACTGGAGTAGTGAAAGTTATTACATGTACTTGAGTGTCAGTTCCAATACAGGATGAACGAAATTGATGTCCAGCTAGCAAACAAATTGAGTACAAGAAATCAAAGCCACAAGTAAAAAGAATGAAAATAAAAGTACGAGGCCCTCCCTCACCAACCCAAAGATCCTAAAATTATACACCGTCTCATTTATTATGCCCATGACTATCTTCAGCATGCGATAGCTTAATTATTATTGTGCACGCCCACTTTTTAGCCCCACGAGCCGCCCCTGTTTTAAACAACTTAACGTGTTCCTAAGAGAGCAAATTCCTAACCGGTAAGGTTAGGAACCAAAAGTCAGATCACGTGACAGTAAATGTAACACATTGACTTTTGGTTAGGACACCCCGGGGAAATTAATTATGGGTTTCTTTCCTCTGCCGTGAGGTGAACTTAGATTGATAGAGACCATACTTTTTTGATCAATGGAATTTGCGTAGATGAATTGATGTTATACGTTTGTCTAGTAATAAATTTACAGCAACTGTAACGTTGATGAATGCTCTCTTGTTGGTGAGACCTTCACTTCCGGTAAAAACTATACAAACCTACCCGCTATAGCTCACAAAAAGAATTCAATAAATTATTTTAAACTCTCATCTCTTCTCGAATATTATTATTATTACTACTACTACTACTACTACTACTACTACTACTACTACTACTACTACTACTACTACTACTACTACTACTACTACTACTAGAGTAGTAGAGGTGGTAGTAGTAGTAGCAGTAGTAG